ACAGTTTTGGACTCTGATTCCAACGGTGAAGTCTGTTTTTCGCCACATATTATACTTTGGCCCCTAGAGGCATTCAAAGTTTTTTGGGGGAAGGGGGACCCCCTTAGATTTTCATAAAAACTGGTCCATGGGTACAGTTTTGGACGCTGATTCCAATGGTGAAGTCTGTTTTTCGCCACATATTATACTTTGCCCCTAGAGGCATTCAGATTCACTTTCAGAATCACATTCGGACCCCCTTAGATTTTCATAAAAACTGGTACATGGGTACAGTTTTGGACGCTGATTCCAATGGTGAAGTCTGTTTTTCGCCACATATTATACTTTGGCCCCTAGAGGCATTCAAAGTTTTTTTGGGGCGAAGGGGGACCCCCTTAGATTTTCATAAAAACTGGTCCATGTGTACAGTTTTGGACGCTGATTCCAACGGTGAAGTCTGTTTTTCGCCACATATTATACTTTGGCCCCTAGAGGCATTCAAAGTTTTTTGGGGAAGGGGGACCCCCTTAGATTTTCATAAAAACTGGTCCAAGGGTACAGTTTTGGACGCTGATTCCAATGGTGAAGTCTGTTTTTCGCCACATATTATACTTTGGCCCTAGAGGCATTCAAAGTTTTTTTTGGGCGAAGGGGGACCCTCTTAGATTTTCATAAAAACTGGTCCATGTGTACAGTTTTGGACGCTGATTCCAACGGTGAAGTCTGTTTTTCGCCACATATTATACTTTGGCCCCTAGAGGCATTCAAAGTTTTTTTGGGGGAAGGGGGACCCCCTTAGATTTTCATAAAAACTGGTCCATGGGTACAGTTTTGGACGCTCATTCCAATGGTGAAGTCTGTTTTTCGCCACATATTATACTTTGGCCCCTAGAGGCATTCAAAGTTTTTTTGGGGCGAAGGGGGACCCCCTTAGATTTTCATAAAAACTGGTCCATGGGTACAGTTTTGGACGCTGATTCCAATGGTGAAATCTGTTTTTCGCCACATATTATACTTTGGCCCCTAGAGGCATTCAAAGTTTTTTTGGGGAAGGGGGACCCCCTTAGATTTTCATAAAAACTTGTCCATGTGTACAGTTTTGGACGCTGATTCCCATGGTGAAGTCTGTTTTTCGCCACATATTATACTTTGCCCCTAGAGGCATTCAGATTCACTTTCAGAATCACATTCGGACCCCCTTAGATTTTCATAAAAACTGGTCCATGGGTACAGTTTTGGACGCTGATTCCAATGGTGAAGTCTGTTTTTCGCCACATATTATACTTTGGCCCCTAGAGGCATTCAAAGTTTTTTTTTGGGCGAAGGGGGACCCCCTTAGATTTTCATAAAAACTAGTCCATGGGTACAGTTTTGGACGCTGATTCCAACGGTGAAGTCTGTTTTTCGCCACATATTATACTTTGGCCCCTAGAGGAATTCAAAGTTTTTTTGGGGCGAAGGGGGACCCCCTTAGATTTTCATAAAAACTGGTCCATGTGTACAGTTTTGGACTCTGATTCCAACGGTGAAGTCTGTTTTTCGCCACATATTATACTTTGGCCCCTAGAGGCATTCAAAGTTTTTTGGGGAAGGGGGACCCCCTTAGATTTTCATAAAAACTGGTCCATGGGTACAGTTTTGGACGCTGATTCCTGCCTCTAGGGGCCAAAGTATAATATGTGGCGAAAAACAGACTTCACCGTTGGAATCAGCGTCCAAAACTGTACACATGGACCAGTTTTTATGAAAATCTAAGGGGGTCCCCCTTCGCCCCAAAAAAACTTTGAATGCCTCTAGGGGCCAAGTATAATATGTGGCGAAAAACAGACTTCACCATTGGAATCAGCGTCCAAAACTGTACCCATGGACCAGTTTTTATGAAAATCTAAGGGGGTCCCCCTTCGCCCAAAAAAAAACTTTGAATGCCTCTAGGGGCCAAAGTATAATATGTGGCGAAAAACAGACTTCACCATTGGAATCAGCGTCCAAAACTGTACCCATGGACCAGTTTTTTTGAAAATCTAAGGGGGTCCCCCTTCCCCCAAAAAACTTTGAATGCCTCTAGGGGCCAAAGTATAATATGTGGCGAAAAACAGACTTCACCGTTGGAATCAGCGTCCAAAACTGTACACATGGACCAGTTTTTATGAAAATCTAAGGGGGTCCCCCTTCGCCCAAAAAAAACTGTGAATGCCTCTAGGGGCCAAAGTATTATATGTGGCGAAAAACAGACTTCACCATTGGAATCAGCGTCCAAAACTGTACCCATGGACCAGTTTTTATGAAAATCTAAGGGGGTCCGAATGTGATTCTGAAAGTGAATCTGAATGCCTCTAGTGGCAAAGTATAATATGTGGCGAAAAACAGACTTCACCATGGGAATCAGCGTCCAAAACTGTACCCATGGACCAGTTTTTATGAAAATCTAAGGGGGTCCCCCTTCCCCAAAAAAACTTTGAATGCCTCTAGGGGCCAAAGTATAATATGTGGCGAAAAACAGACTTCACCATTGGAATCAGCGTCCAAAACTGTACCCATGGACCAGTTTTTATGAAAATCTAAGGGGGTCCCCCTTCGCCCAAAAAAAACTTTGAATGCCTCTAGGGGCCAAAGCATAATATGTGGCGAAAAAAGACTTCACCATTGGAATCAGCGTCCAAAACTGTACCCATGGACCAGTTTTTATGAAAATCTAAGGGGGTCCCCCTTCGCCCAAAAAAAACTTTGAATGCCTCTAGGGGCCAAAGTATAATATGTGGCGAAAAACAGACTTCACCATTGGAATCAGCGTCCAAAACTGTACCCATGGACCAGTTTTTATGAAAATCTAAGGGGGTCCCCCTTCCCCAAAAAACTTTGAATGCCTCTAGGGGCCAAAGTATAATATGTGGCGAAAAACAGACTTCACCGTTGGAATCAGCGTCCAAAACTGTACCCATGGACCAGTTTTAATGAAAATCTAAGGGGGTCCCCCTTCGCCCAAAAAAAACTTTGAATGCCTCTAGGGGCCAAAATATAATATGTGGCGAAAAACAGACTTCACCATTGGAATCAGCGTCCAAAACTGTACCCGTGGACCAGTTTTTATGAAAATCTAAGGGGGTCCGAATGTGATTCTGAAAGTGAATCTGAATGCCTCTAGGGGCAAAGTATAATATGTGGCGAAAAACAGACTTCACCATGGGAATCAGCGTCCAAAACTGTACACATCGACAAGTTTTTATGAAAATCTAAGGGGGTCCCCCTTCCCCAAAAAACTTTGAATGCCTCTAGGGGCCAAAGTATAATATGTGGCGAAAAACAGACTTCACCATTGGAATCAGCGTCCAAAACTGTACCCATGGACTAGTTTTTATGAAAATCTAAGGGGGTCCCCCTTCGCCCCAAAAAAACTTTGAATGCCTCTAGGGGCCAAAGTATATTATGTGGCGAAAAACAGACTTCACCATTGGAATCAGCGTCCAAAACTGTACCCATGGACCAGTTTTTATGAAAATCTAAGGGGGTCCCCCTTCGCCCAAAAAACTTTGAATGCCTCTAGGGGCCCAAAGTATAATATGTGGCGAAAAACAGACTTCACCGTTGGAATCAGCGTCCAAAACTGTACACATGGACCAGTTTTTATGAAAATCTAAGGGGGTCCCCCTTCGCCCCAAAAAAACTTTGAATGCCTCTAGGGGCCAAAGTATAATATGTGGCGAAAAACAGACTTCACCATTGGAATCAGCGTCCAAAACTGTACCCATGGACCAGTTTTTATGAAAATCTAAGGGGGTCCCCCTTCGCCCAAAAAAAACTTTGAATGCCTCTAGGGGCCAAAGTATAATATGTGGCGAAAAACAGACTTCACCATTGGAATCAGCGTCCAAAACTGTACCCATGGACCAGTTTTTATGAAAATCTAAGGGGGTCCCCCTTCCCCCAAAAAAACTTTGAATGCCTCTAGGGGCCAAAGTATAATATGTGGCGAAAAACAGACTTCACCGTTGGAATCAGCGTCCAAAACTGTACGCATCGACCAGTTTTTATGAAAATCTAAGGGGGGTCCCCCTTCGCCCCAAAAAACTTTGAATGCCTCTAGGGGCCAAAGTATAATATGTGGCGAAAAACAGACTTCACCATTGGAATCAGCGTCCAAAACTGTACCCATGGACCAGTTTTTATGAAAATCTAAGGGGGTCCCCCTTCGCCCAAAAAAAAACTTTGAATGCCTCTAGGGGCCAACGTATAATATGTGGCGAAAAACAGACTTCACCATTGGAATCAGCGTCCAAAACTGTACCCATGGACCAGTTTTTATGAAAATCTAAGGGGGTCCCCCTTCCCCCAAAAAACTTTGAATGCCTCTAGGGGCCAAAGTATAATATGTGGCGAAAAACAGACTTCACCGTTGGAATCAGCGTCCAAAACTGTACACATGGACCAGTTTTTATGAAAATCTAAGGGGGTCCCCCTTCGCCCCAAAAAAACGTTGAATGCCTCTAGGGGCCAAAGTATAATATGTGGCGAAAAACAGACTTCACCATTGGAATCAGCGTCCAAAACTGTACCCATGGACCAGTTTTTATGAAAATCTAAGGGGGTCCGAATGTGATTCTGAAAGTGAATCTGAATCTGAGGCTGTCTTGACAGACGTCGAGGTTTCACCTTTTCCATCAAGAACGGTGCATCTGGCTACGTGGCTTTTTTGCGTTGCTGACTGCTTAGTGCCTACTGAGCAAGGCTATATAAACCCAGGTGTTGTCCATCTGAACTGCACAGTCACGTGACCCATTTGACCTTCGGATCCAATTCTGGTAGTCAATTCTGGCGCTTTTGTTACCATAGCGGAAAATGTAGCCCCGTGTTCACAGTTCTCCTGACGACGAAGATTCTGCGTAATCTGGCCAATGGCGTTCGAGAACCGCGGCCAAGCCCCGCTGATCTTGAACGTGATTGGTCGGACGGCGTATAGAATCTTCGTCGTCCGGGAGACTGCGAACACGGGGTAAACCAAGAGGTAAACAATCTGTGCGTGGAATGGGGATTGGGAGTGGTGAATGTGTAAAGGCGATGATAGGCCGATTCGTCGATTTTTATTTATACTATTATCCTTATTATATATTCTGATCATTTCGTTTATGTTCAGGAGTTTTTTTCTGTTGATTTAACATAAAAAACGGTGTGTTTTACTGTCAATGCCAAGTGCCATGTTGATATTGAAATTGGGTTACAATTCAACATTCACCGGTTTTTCTATGGCCTGTTGTGAATCATATTATTGGTAATGTGAACATAGGTACCTACTCCATACACTGCTTCTTTTGGGTATATTTTAATGTTTGACCTGATTTTACGTCATTTCACCTTATATGTTCTTGCAGGAACAGTTATCACACCATTATTGTGCAAAAATAAGGGTGGTGTTTCGCGGCACTCTGCCAGCCATTTTTGGCTTACATAGAGACATCAACAAGCCTATACCTCCGACACTACCAGAGGTTGACGCTAGCTCACGGAATGTGCTGGCAGCGGCTGGCAGCGCGCTGGTGAAACACAGCCAGGGGTTACCTCTGTAACGTCATTGTTGTCTAGGTAGATGGGTCTTCATCAATTGTTAACAGCTACAAAAATTGGAATGAAAAATGTTGAGGTATTATGAGCATCAGCTAAACAGGAAAGAGAATTTGGCTGCAGCCCATCTTGCAACGCCTCAATGAAATTTCACGAGAAACTTAAATCAAGGGAGCAGCTACATAACTGAGGTAAAGTCGATAAATCCTTGTGTATTTACCTACATAACACGGGGTAAATCCACAAGGCACCTTGAATTCAAACTATGAAGTGACTCCAAGCGAAATATAGCAGAAATTGGGACTTAGTGGAGCTTAGAAATAATCTGCTTAGTGCTGGATGAATGTTTTCACTTAAAATGAACACCACCATATTCGAGTCATGAAAAAAGTGTTGAGTAAGCATAAGCTTGTAGCATAAAAGATGTTTGTGAAAAGTCACTAGATTTTAAAGTGTTAGTCTCTGCACATTGATTCTCTGATTGTTTAAATGATGAAGTCTCTGCACAGTCTCTGATTGACTGAATGAGCTCTGCAGTCACATCACAATAGTGAAATTCATGGGAAGATTTTATTTGTAATAAAAGAAGGTAATATTTTGAGTTGATTTTTCCTATTCTGTGAAGACCATAGCATGTTTAACAGCATTCCAAACAGGGCATGTCAAAGGCTGGATGGATCTTGGGATTTCCTTGAATTGTGTTTACCATATGTTGTTTTTTATTCAAAGTTATTGTAAAAGCCAACCAACTTTTACAACATTGAGGATCATACTTTAGCTTTGGAAACAAGACATATGTATTATGTAGTCTACATATCTATGGTTATGCTGATCTTGTTTTCCAGAGTCTTTGATTATCACTTAATTTCATTCACTTTTGATGTAGTGAAATCCATGATCATTTTAATGACAAGCTACGTTTGAAATGTATTGTTGCTCCCTTTTTTACCATGCATATTTTTGTGCCTTGTGAGGTCTCATATAGGAATCACAAGAGCAGTAACATGCATTGTTTGCTTGTGTTGTCATAACTTTGTACAATATTTCCAGCTTTATAATATGCAGTTACCAGTCACATTGGGCATCACATATGTATTTTTCCTGCAGGAGGAAAGACACAGAGCTAACTAGTGAGTTGACACATGTTTGTGCTCCTATCACTTCACCCCTGGGGAATCAGTGCCTACAACACCCCTTGAGTATAATGGTCACCAAGGGGTGCTGTCCTGACATGTTCACTTTCTGTTGAGAAGGTTAGAACAAACACCATGTGTGTCATTTAGTTGCATATATAATATCTTTATGTTAAGTCTGCATAAAGTTTGAAGTCTGTAGCCACTCTTAATCCTAGTTTGTCATTAACTTAATCTAGCCTGGGTGGATATTTTGTTGTGCTTAAAGCACGGACTGCGCTACGCCCCGGCACGGCGGCCGGGGCACCTCCCCTGGAAGAAAACGGCACCGGGGAGGGGGGGACGGACGGCGAGGAGCCGGGAAGGAGCGCGGCACCGTCACCCCACAAGCCGCCCGCAGCAACGCCGTTATTCTTGTGCCTCTTGGGCGCCGCCGACGACCTGCGGATGGGGAGCGCATCCCAGACGGGCGGGAGCCGGGAGGGCCGCCCGCGCCATCCGGCCGGCGAAGCAGCAGCCCGGCCAGGCGCGGCGGGCGGCTGGGTGGCGGCCGGACTGAGACGAATCCCGAGTCGCTCCATGTCTCTGTCTCTTGCAAAACTAGTACCGCCGCCGCCCAGCCTTGATGGGTCACCACGAGGAAAAGGCGAGCCCGCTCCCAGTACCTGTCGTGGAGCTCCCGCGCGGGCACGCCGCCTCACCGATGGCCCCTGGTCTTTATCTCTCTCTCTGTCTCTCTCTGTCTCTCTGTCTCTGTCTCTCTCTCTCTCTCTCTCTCTCTCTCTCTCTCTCTCTCTCTCTCTCTCTCTCTCTCTCTCTCTCTCTCTCTCTCTCTCTCTCCGTCTCCGTCTCCGTCTCCGTCTCCGTCTCCGTCTCCGTCTCCGTCTCCGTCTCCGTCTCCGTCTCCGTCTCCGTCTCCGTCTCCGTCTCCGTCTCCGTCTCCGTCTCCGTCTCCGTCTCCGTCTCCGTCTCCGTCTCTCTCTCTCTCTCTCTCTCTCTCTCTCTCTCTCTCTCTCTCTCTCTCTCTCTCTCTCTCTCTCTCTCTCTCTCTCTCTCTCTCTCTCCGACGCCAAAACCGGCTCACAACGGCGTCCATGTCGGCCGGGGCGAAATGACTTGAATAATTATTTCATAAAGGCATTAACAGTGACACAAGACAAAAGTTCAACAAATTCTACGCATGAATCATCCAGTAGGTACCAACTTCGAAAGCAGTTAAAATGAAGATGCACAAGAAAGCGTAATTTCCCAATGACATGATATGACTGTCACAATGCTTAGCCGCAATCACCTCTTTTTGTAGTTGAAATGGTAAGTAATTTTTGAAATTATCTGATAAAAATCTAAAATTGATACCATATTGAAGACCAATCAATTCTACACATGAATCAGGGTGTATCTTTGAGAAAAACTTGAAAGTTTAGGTGTGATAAGAAAAACAAATAAAAATGAACCATTTTCCCATAGACTTTGTATTGGCTCAAAAATCGCATGGATCCAGAATTTCTGGAAGTGCCCTCGCCACAACTGCACGTGCGCTGCGCTCGAAAATGATCACGTGACCAAATCCAGATGAGATCACCGTATTTATAGTCACCGTGTATAAACCCTACTGAGTGTCACTGGAGGCTCAGGAAGCCTGGGATGTATACAAAAAAAATGTTCGTCCTTATTGATGCAATCTTGTAACCAGACGTTTCGGACAACAAGGAGCCTTCGTCAGTGGAAAATAAAATAAAGGCTTTACATTTATCGATGTATAGCCTATATCTTATTTTCCACTGAGGAAGGTAGGTCGGCGTTGCCCCGGACTGCGGGAAAGCCGAAAATGGGATAAATGATCTACGAGGAATGCCGACATTGATGTTTTGCCAATTTATCTCAAACTTTATCCAAAATTCATCAAAGCTGACACGCGTTTTAAGAGCTTTAGGACGCTTGGTGCACACTGGAAGTTATAATTGTGTGATATAATAAGAAAATGCCAGGTAAATCATTCCTTATAGGTAACAGGCCGTTGTGCCGGCTGAAAGTGTAATTTGTTTGACTAAAAATACCTACGCGTTGCTATTCTACAGCAGTGAAGTCCACGTAGCGTGCTTTAACGTGCGTAATTGCACGTTTTCGGCATTACCCCAGCCAGCCATACTTTCATTTGCAGGCCCATAACTTCTAAACGTGCTGTATAAATTTCAAATAGGCAGCACACTTATGCAAAGACATGCTGAAGATTACTTGACCGAATTGGCCAGACAAACGGTAGCATAATGAGTAAGAAATGCAGCTTCAAAGGCGCATGTAGTACAAGGGAAACGTACCTTGAAAACGCTTTTGGCGCCCTCACAGCCGAAGTATTCCAAATGACGACTCGTAACAAACATGCGATAATTGTAGTCACTTAAGCTTAAGAGCATCACTGAGACGTGGCATCTATGTCGTACGGTTTTAGAAATACATCGAATTTCGGCTTTGCCCCAACTCCGGCATTGCCCCAACTTCCCCTACTTTGTTGTCCGGAACGTTTGGTTTTATTTAGGTACATTGTTGTTGTATTGTCATTGTAGTTATGTGAGAAAAACAAAAATTTCAGCTCTTCTAAAGAGGTACAATGAGTACAAAATGTACCTATACCTTGCAATTTTGTTATCGGTGACCTAAAGGCACGTCAATTTTACAACCTCTCCATTATAAGTCAATGGGAGGAAATCGAAAGGCACCTCTTTTGGACGAACATCATTCTAAGCACTCTACACACGGAATTACACTTAAATATGACACACTGAACCGGAAAATGGCACCCGTGACCCCTCGTTATGCTCGTGAGGTCATCGCAGGTCACGCATGGTATATAACAGTTTTTTTTTTTGCTAATGAGCTTTGGTAGAGGCATGCTAGCAGGAGGCCCCTGTGCCCACACAGCAGGCCCCTATGCCCGCACAGGAGAACCCTGTGCCCATACAGGAGGACCCCTGTGCCCGAACAGGAGGCCTTTGTGCCCGCAACGGAGGCCCCTGTGCCCAAATAGGAGGCCCGTGTGTCAAAACACGAGGGTTTAGGCGAAGAGGAGGCCCTCTTATGAAGAGACCCCCTACTTCGGCTTGTCACCCAGGTGGCAAAAAATCCGTGACGCCGCCCCTGATGCAATGCCGGAGTTACTGAACAGTGGACAGTGCCTAAATGCCATGCCGCGCCCCGAAATCGAATCGATCTGACGAATGACGTGCGATTCGTTCGATATGTATACCTGATTCTGGTGCACTTTTACCTGCACTACGACGAAATAGGCTGCACTATGACGAACATCGTGCCGCGATTCAATATAGGTATGACTGCACTATGCCGCGCTGTCGAACTCGCCTGAATTATCACCGAAATGTGTGCACCACCGCCTAAATTGGGCGCTAAAAAAGGTCTATATTTTCCGTCCATCGCGATGGTGATTCCGGATCAGTCTGACCTTTGGGCCACGGCACTGCGGCGGTCGGCCAGCTGAGCAGAGCTGTCACTGCGCTGAGCTGTCACCCTCTGACCTCTGTCAACTGAGCTGTCACCCTCTGACCTCTGTCCACTGAGCTGTCACCGCCACTGAGCCGGTGACGGGCCGGGCTGTCACCGGTGAGGGGCCGGGCTGACACCGGTGGCAGGCCGGGCTGACACCGATGAGGGGCCCGGCTGTCACCGGTGAGGGGCCCGGCTGTCACCGGTGACGGGCCCGGCTGACACCGGTGACGGGCCGGGCTGTCACCGGTGAGGGGCCGGGCTGTCACCGGTGAGGGGCCCCGCTGTCACCGGTGACGGGCCCGGCTGTCACCGGTGAGGGGCCGGGCTGTCACCGGTGACGGGCCCGGCTGTCACCGGTGACGGGCCCGGCTGTCACCGGACCGCGGGCACACCAGCGCGCCGGCGGCCTCAGCCTGCACACGCGAGCCGCGTCTGGCTGCAGGTACCAGCTCTGTCGGCAATGGCAGCGTCCAGGGCGACGGCGGCAGCGCTGCTGGTGCTGCTGGTCACAGCGGCGCCGGCCCTTCTGACCGGCCCACCGGACCGTGAGTACGCTGCCGACACAGAACCACGCCCTCTGCTGAGTGCTGACCGGCCGAGACGGCGGCGCAGAGGCTCCAGCGCAGGTCGCGGCGATCCGTAACCCCGGTAATCTAACTTCCGTAATGCAGCGTAATGTAGGTATAAAGGTGTGCATTTTGGGGTTGGACGCCCGACCCTGAGGCCGTGGTGCACGTGGGCCCTTGGACGTGGGTAATACATATTCAGCATGTTCAGCATTCACTGCAGTAACGTTAACTATAAACGGACTATCCAGGAGACAGATTCATGATTATAGCCGTTCAGCGTATGTACCCAGGATTACTGATTACTGATTATGCAGTGGCCCAGATGAGCTATCCGAATCTAGCAGCGCTGGCTGGGCGGCGAGGGGCCGTCGGTGGTCGCTGACGGTCGCTGACGACACCGACGACCGCTGACGGTCGCTGACGACCGCTGACGGTCGCTGACAGTCGCTGACGGTCGCTCGGTTTGGGTGCGGCAGCTCCGCCGGATCCGACTTCTGCCGAGGGGTGCCGGGCGGCGGGCGCCCTGTGCCTGGCCCGGCCCGGCCCCGGACAGCCGGCCTGCCCGCGCTGGCAGCGGCCCTTCGCCGGCATCTGCGGGCCCGCGGCCGACTGCTGCTTTATCGGTATGTGGGTGGCACGAACCGCTGCTGCTCCATTGGTGGCCGGTCTGTCGGCTTCCTGAGGGTCTGTGTCGGGTCTGTGTTGGGTGTGTTGGGTCTGTGTCGGGTGTGTTGGGTCTGTGTCGGGTGTGTTGGGTCTGTGTGGGGTCTGTGTCGGGTCTATCAGGTCTGCTGGCTCTGTGTCGGGTCTGTGGGGTCTGCGTCGGGTCTGTCGGCTCTCTGTCGGTCTGTGTCGGGTCCGTCAGGTCTGCTGGCTCTGTGTCGGGTTTGTGAAGTCTGTGTCGGTCTGTGTCAGGTCTGTCGGATCTGTATCGGGTCTGTATGGGGTCTGTGTCTGCTCCCAGTCGCGCCTGTGTCTGCTCTGACCCGTATTCCGCTGGTCTGCGACTGCGCCCTCAGAGTATTGGAACCACGCGCTGGTCTGCGGCCTGTTTGGCGGGGACTGCGCGCCCGTGGCCAGCTGCGGGGGCGCGCCTCGGCATCGGAACGCCTTCTGCGCGCGGCCCGGTGACACCTGCTGCATCTGGCTCTACTAGCCCGGTGACACGTGCTGTATCTGGCTCTACTAGCCCGGCGACACCTGCTGCGTCTGGCTCTACTAGCCCGGCGACACCTGCTGCGTCTGGCTCTACTAGCTGGTGACACCTGCTGCGTCTGGCTCTACTAGCTGGTGCTAGCGTGCCGCTCTATGTGACACTGCTAGCAGCCACACTGCTACACCCGGCTCTTAACGATTATTCTGTCACACTTAAAAAAACGAAGCGTTTCAGAGCTTGGACCTATATAATTGGGAAAAATAATAAATGTTGGCAATGGTGGCCCTCGCTGGTGTGATGACTAAGCACGTAAACAGGGCTACTGGTGGAAAGACATGGGGAAAATCAAAGTCATATTCAATTGATAAAAAATCACAAAAATAATTGCGCCACTTCTCGTAACAGTGCGACAACTGACAAGCAAGGTCAAACATCTCAACCAAGGGCTCCGCCACCGGGGAGGGGGGACGGGGGACATGTCCCCCCAATCAAAATGTTGAGGGGACATACTCAACATTTTTGTCCCCCCCCCCCCCCTAATCGACTCTGCTGCTGGTAGATAAATCGACTCTTCTTCCTAACACCGAAAACAGAACATAGGTACCAAGATTCTCCGAAGAAAAAAAAAAATGATGAAAATCTTATGAACCTGTCGTCGGTAACTATATTGTCGCTGTGTTTTATTTTCTGTTATGGGGGCCACGGATTTCAGTTTTCTTTTAGAAGCCCATATCGACAGGCGTTTTTTCGTTAGGTAAATCAACGGGAGTCTTACTGATGACTGTTCGCAATCACACGCGCTGTGAGAAAATCACGGTCGCGGTGGGCGGGACCGGCGCTGCCACCTTCGGTGACCGTGCCACGATCGCGGTGGATGCGACCTGCATCACTGCCTCTGGCGGCGCAAGGCTCGCTGCAACACCACGTGCAGCGGCGGTGAGGACCGAGGCCGGAACCGTGGTGAGACCGTACCGCCCGCACGCACCGGCCAGGCGGCATGGTGTCGCAACCTACGCACTGGCCACTGACCGACCTTCGCCCGACCTCTCGGGACGTGACGATGAACCCGGAACGGAGCGCGAGGAGATGACTTTCGCCCGACCCTGGGGCCGCGGTGGCGAGACCGGCCCGGCGCGCGAGGTCACGACTTTCACGCCGCACAGCTGCGCCACGTGAAGTGCGCGCTTCTCCGACGTTTAGAACATGTAGTTTTTATATTTATGTGCTTAGCCCTGCAATGGAACAAGCTTTTTCTCCTGTAGCTCTGTATAGCCAACAAAAAAGCAGACTAACAAAGGAGCAGACCTGGAATGCGGATCGCATTATTTCTTGTGTGAAATATATTACGACGTATTACGGTAAATACGAGCGTAATGACTTATTGCAGGACCGATCCTCACGGACTGCATGATTTAGGTATTGTACTTCACAGTGTTCGATATGCCAGGTTCTAAGCTGATGTATGTATGTCGCCGTGGCGCGGCAGTGTTTTCTTCACTGCGCGTGTAGCGGGTAACATTGCGACTGTCTGCCTATTGCCTAGTAACTGTACTTTTGCTGTACTTGAATCTAATCTCATGTCTATAATAGCCTGTAATGTAATATACCTGTTCCAAGACAAAGCAAATTCTTTGTAGTTGGTAACGTTCGCGTCTCAAAGAGACGAATGCTAGTTTAGAAGTTGGGCTAAAAATAAACTTTCATACTCCTAAACAAACAACCTGCTCAGCAGACGCTTCACGCGTGAAGCCAAGCTGGCAAAGTAAAACATAAAATTCACAAATGCAAAGATAAGAGACATGAAAATGTCTCGTGATGTCAAATGTCCGAAAGTACCCCACCCGTGGGGTAAAGTCAGGCAGAGGGTGGGGCAGCTTAAGACGGTCGGGGGACCCCTCGTTATGTTACAGTTTCATTGGTTATACCTATGGCCTTGGTTTCATTCAGTCACAATGTGATTTCATTGTATTGATGCCAAAACGTCACACACGTTCAATATCAACCCTTTCACTACCATGGGAGACAAAACCTTGCTCTGGGAACTCCCCGTCCTCCTCCCCATACACACACGCCCGTATACCAGCCTAAATATTAAATGCCTACCAATCTAAAAATGCATTCATTTGTAGTAATACATTTTTAGATGCGTAGTTTACCATTTAACCATAATGTACCATCTTCATACCATTTACTATCTGATGTTAGCTTACAGATAGTCCGATGCATCCCCACGTCCAACTGCCCGAAGCATCTCATCACGCCCCGAAAACATATTAACCCGGCCGGGCCCGGGGGGTAATCCCAACCACCGCAGCCCGGGGGGGGGGCGTTTTTCGCCCCCCCCCTGTCTAACTCCGTAAATAAGGGAGTTACGGAAACAAAAGCGATACCAAACGAAAGGTCCTTACGAGACGATTCTAAAGCACCTAAAATTTTTGACCTCAGGTCAATTTTCAAGGTCAGAGGTCAAGGTCAAAGGCCAAAACCGGCACATGTGTAGTGATCTCAAAGTAAGCCTTCTAGAGGATGGCAGGATGCATCAAACCGGCAAAATTGGGTATCAAACGAAAGAAGAGAATCTGAGGATTCCGAATATGTGCTCAAAATCAAAGGTCAAGGTCAAGGTCACGCTCACAATTGACCTCAAACTTTGCACTTTTTCGTACATCTTGCGTGCTAACTTCCAAGACGTTTTGAAATGTTTGGAGGCTTATCAGTTCCCTATTTGTGGTTCATCTTACGATACAAGGCTGCTCAAAGGTCAAGGTCACAGAAGAGTATCCTTGCTAGAGGCTATTTCACTAATTCAAGTTAGTAATAATAAATAAGACAATTTTGCCATCCGGAAGCTCTAAATAAAGCCTTAGAGGAAAATGGATGCCAGATTCGTGATCAGCGGGTACAAATCCATCGTAACCGACCTTTCATGTGTCAAGGTCAACCAAAGGTCATTCGAGGTCACATGAGGTCAACATAAAATTTGACCTTTTCCAAACAAAATATATATCATTCGACGCGGCTTGACACGGCGAATGCGATGGTACCACTGCCGTAGCTCTAGGACCATTTTTGTTGAAGTTATTTGCGAAAAACTAAAACCACATTTCGGGGTCGTTGACCTGACCTCTGACCTCAGGTCACCAAAACTATTTTTCTATTTTTCTCTAGGTCAAACGCTACACAACCGTGCTCGTAATTTGTCTTTATCTCTAAAACTCTATTTTTAGCAGCTATTTGAAGTTCGCGTCTGTGACGCCGAAGTTTGCCTTGCAGGGGTCTAGAAAAATCGACCTTGTGACGTCATCAAGGGGGCTAGGTCAAAAAATTTTACTTCAGTAGATGTCAAATTGATGGGGAGAAAAGGTACTGAAAGTTTCGCTTCCCTATCCCTAAGCGTTCGGGAGCTATCGCAAAAATTCGCCAGGGGGGGGCGAAAAACGCCCCCCCCGGGCCCGCGAGGGTTAACTTGCGACTCGTGAGCAGACGTGAAATCTCACGCACGTAACGTAACAGCCAGGTTTAATTTACATCAACCTAGCAATACCACGATTGCAAGGCAAAACAAACAGTCGTTCAAGAAAAACTCATATCTAGCGCTGCCACTTTGACATTTTGACCCCTGCGACGTCATCTTTGACCTGACCTGAAAATGACTATATAATCATTGTAGACCATGTCCGTGAGTACTCTATGCCGTTTACCGCTTGTCTCTATTGCTTCGTTCTCGAGGTCTCAGGGGGGGGGGAGGGGGGCGGTCAACCACCCCCGGTCGGTTCTATGTTGGCGCGGACCCCCGTCGGTGCGCGGGTTAAAATGCCGCCAAACTCCTGATTTGAAGCACAGCACTGTATTGAATGGCCGACCATGAAACGAGCTAATAGTCGACAACACAATCGGTAGAGGAAATCTGTGGAGCAGCTGGTGGAGCGAAATGAAGCAAATCTGCTGCTGGGTGACTGTCCGCTGACTCAGGCCACTGACAGACCGCCAACTGACAGATAGCTGACAGATAGCTGACAAACAGCTGACAGACAGCTGACAGACAGCTGAGAGACGGCTGACAGACAGCTGACACAGCTGACAGGTGACGGAAGCTGAGAGACTGTTGACAGGCGGCTGACATCTGTAACCCTGTTGACATAACAAAACACCGAAACCCTTGACGAGTTAAGGGAGAATGGTGCGAGTTGTATCACCGGTTCCAGTACGGTATAGCCGTCTGGCACTCATACATGCACGCCTTTCCATATACCTATGAAAACAAAACATTGCGCCTGTGGCCACTCAATGAAACTTCGCTGGGCTGAAACTTCCTTCAGCCGACACAAACGTAAAAAGTAGAAACTGTCCTTGGCACAAGTAAAACAATCTGTGAAATTCGCGTGCATCTCAGTGCAAAAGAATAAAAACATTTTTACGCAAAGCTTGTCCGTAAACGCAAACGGTTACGGACAAATGTTACACAATGACACTCGAAAATAGACTACCGATCGGTCTCTGCGGCCGTCTGGCGGGGCGCGCTCGGCAGACGCTCGGCCGGCCGGCCCGGGGCGGACTGGAGCAGACGCTGCTCGGACGCTGCCTAGACCGGCCCGGGGCGGACTCAGCAGACGCTGCTCGGACGCTGCCTAGACCGGGCCGGGGCGGACTCGGAGCAGACGCCGCTCGGCCGGCCCGGGGCGGACTGGAGCAGACGGCCGGTCGGACGCTGCCTAGGGCGGGCCGGGGCGGACTCCGGCAGACGCCGGTCGGACGCTGCCTAGACCGGGCCGCCAGCCGCCCCAGCTCCGCGCCCCGATATACACCCGTTCACGATGGACTGCACCCGCCCTCCTCACGGTTCGTCGGAAGGTCATCTCAGGCTCAAAAGAAACGATATATACCATTCGAAAGCTGACGGTGAGCTGAATCCAAAATTGTAATCTTTATCAAAATCGATCGATGGCTTTTTTTGAAAATTGCGGCTTTGTAAAAACTTTATAATTTTTTATTCAACGGGCTGTCCCGGACATTCTTGAAAACATAATCATGTATTTTTGAGTTCCAGTGAAAGCTAAACGCCAAAAGTACAATATTTAGCGAAGCAATATTTCCTAACATTAATATGCGTCTCCCACAGCCGACAATAAGGCGCAGTCACACTGCTCAGTGTCACGATGGACCAAAGTCGGCCACACAGAAGCGTGAAATGACCCTTATCGACTCGCAGACCCGGCGCTCTCGGCCCGCCTGACCAGCCACGGAAAGAACGTTCGGCTCTCGTTCTACTAAATGAATGTCATATTTGTCAGTTTAACTGTCCACATCGCTATTAAAGTTATTCAGGATACCTGTGAGGAAAATTCATTGTTCTGCTTGATTTACAACATGCTTTACTTTACATTTTTCTTATACATGTTTTGTTCCATTCAGCTGCGCTCAGTGCCCGCGCAGGTGAAGTGAGCGGGGTTTCACTGTCAGAGGCTGTACTGGTGACAGCTGCTCGGCCGTGCGACCGGTCAAAGGTTACCCTGCCCCGCCGGGCGCTACCCCCACTCCACCCGAGCTGAGGCCGGTGCAACCTCTGACATTTAAGCGCGGCCAATTTTCCTTATTTGGGCATGATACCAAGCTCAATTGAGCAAAGTAGACATGAACAAATGCAAATTAATGCATGATGTGAAGATGACCGAGCAATGAATCTTCTGGCTCATGTATCCTGAATAACTCAAGTACCGACTTGAATCGTTAAACTAACAAATATGACGCCCGTTTAGTAGAACGACAGCCGAACCTCCTTGCCGTGGCCGGTCAGGCGGGCCGAGAGCGCCGGGTCTGCGAGTCGATAAGGGTCATTTCACGCCTCTGTGTGGCCGACTTTGGTCCATCGTGACACTGAGCTGTGTGACTGCGCCTTATTGTCGGCTGTGGGAGACGCATATTAATGTTAGGAAATATTGCTTCGCTAAATATTGTTCTTTTGGCGTTCAGCTTTCACTGGAACTCAAAAATACATGATTATGTTTTCAAGAATGTCCGGGACAGCCCGTTTAATAAAAAATTATAAAGTTTTTACAAAAACGCGATTTTCAAAAAACGCCATCGATCGATTTTGATAAAAATTACATTTTTGGATTCAGTTCACCGTCAGCTTTCGAATGATATATATCGTTTCTTTTGAGCCTGAGATGGCCTTCCGACGAACCGTGTCCTGGTAGTGCACCGCGGCGACTACGTCCCCGACCTGGTCCGACCTTCACCATCTCCAATCGCCCGGGGCAGCGGATGCCCACCAGCGGGACCGGGTGCCGCGCCAGGGGGGCCGATGGCCGGTCCCCCGCAGCGGCCCCGGCCCGCGCTGAATGAATAGCCTGGCGCCCCCCGCCGCCGACACGGGCGGCGGGGTCACGGGCGGCCGGAGCGGGGGAGGTCGCCGCAGTAGGAGGGCTAAGAAGAATCGCCGCTACAGAAGAAACTGCCGTGTCCGAAGCCGCCTGCTCATACTGAGCTGGAACGCGGAGGGTCTCCGGAAGAAAACGCTGGAGGTTCAACGTTGGCTGTCGGACAACAAGGTAGACGTGGCGGTGATCCAGGAGGCCCAGCTGCCGGCGAAGAAAAACATCGCCCTCCCTGGTTTCCAGATCGCCTCGGTCGCCCGTCGAGTGCGAGGGCGTAGAACAGACGGCCCTGTGAAAGGAGGGGACGTTGTAATATACATCCGGGACGGACTCAGCTTCACCAGACTTGAGGACCGCCCACTCGACGCCTCCGACGACAGCACAGAGTGGTGTGGTGCCCGACTGCTCCTCCCACCTAGTCAACATTCTAGTCAACCGACCACCATCGACATCCATAACATATACAGGCCGCCCATCCGTACGGGCGAGAGCGACGAGAGGGAGGACAGGTTCGCCCTCACTCTCAGACCCACTTCAGACTGCATTATCACCGGGGATTTCAACGCGCATCACCCGAGGTGGGACCACCAGTGTGACGACGCGGATGACGTCGGCCGCCGCCTGGCCGCCTGGTGCGAGGCCGGGGACTGGTCTGTCCTCAACTCTGGCGCTCCGACCCACGCCGACTACAGGGGGAACACCGGAGCCCCAGACGTCACCGTCTGCACGCGCGGCCTTGCGAGGAGGTGTGCGTGGTCTATCGGGGATGACCTCGGCAGTGACCACCTACCGCAACTCGTCGAGGTCGTGTGCCACGGCGGCCGGCCGCGGCGCATCCGGAAAACGAAGTGGGCCTTCCACAAGGCGGACTGGGTCGGATTCCGCGACGGCATCGAGCGGACACTCGAGACGAGCTCACCCCCGCCGGGCGCCACCACCGAGCAACTCCTGGCAGTGTTTAGCCAGACGCTGTTAGCTCACAGTGTGGAGATGATCCCGCGGGGCGCGCGAGCCGACCCAAAACCGTGGGCCCTGGACCCGGAACTTGTGCGGGCCGTGGCGGAGCGCCGGGAGGCGAGAGACGCCATGCGAACGGATCGTTCCCGGGAGGCGAGGGAACGGTGGCTGACGGCTAAGCGCCATGCCGCCATCACTGAAGACAAAGCCAAGACGCGCAGCTTCCGCGACTTTGCCACAACAACGCTGAACAAGCCGACCAGCATCGGCCTGGTGACCAAGGTGCTGCGCAAGATGGAGGGGTCGGTGCAGGCTTGCCCCGGCCACGCTCTCCAAGGGGACCATGGCCTTGCCGTGGAGGACCTTGAGAAGGCGACCTCCTTCGCGCGAACCTACTCACGGGTCAGCCGGCAAGTCCGGTCGAGGAAGTTAGACCGCAAGGTAAAACATGAACTGATTCAACGCAGCCGCCCCCCGTGCACTGCCTGCGCGGGGGAAAGAGAGGACGCCAGCTGCTGCGGACCGTTCTCCACAACAGAGATGGATATCCAGCTGCGGAAGCTGCGCAACAAGAAGGCCCCAGGACCAGACAACATCTGCGCGGAGCACCTGAAGCACCTCGGCCCCACCGCCAAGGCCCTGCTCCTGCGCCTCATCAATCAGTCCTGGCTGAGGGGGGAGGTCCCGGCAGACTGGCGAAGAGCCGTCATCGTGCCGATCCCCAATGTAAGGGCAAAATTTAGCGCGACGCGTACGTCGGTGAGGAGCGGCGGGCCGGAGTACCAGAGTGCGTGTGAGGCCAGTCCGCCGTGCGATAGCCTCCGGCGGGAAAGGCGTGCCCGCCGGGTGAAAGGCAGCGGCTGGCCGGCACCTGGGACTCGCGGACCCGTCTCTCGTGGCATTTGCCAGTGCGGTGTCGTCGGGGCAACACCTTTCGGTAAGCGAACTTTTCCCTCCCCCCCCCTAAATTAATGCCGCAGCGCCCAGGCGCTGCGGAAGTCCCCGACAAATGTCCTGGATTTCATTTGGCTTTCCGACCCGCCGCAAATAGCGGTGGGCACTCCCGTTTATATCCAGGACAGTCTCACCTAAATTATATTCGTCGGCGCGGCGCGTAGCGTGAATGAGTGTGCGTTTGGAGGTGTGATATGGGTAGTGTGCGTGAGCGTAAGTGTGTGAACCATAAATGCCCCTGGTCTAACGATACGAAAATACAGCGTAATGGAATGTGAGCAAAATATTTCATTGGGGGAATGGCAGATGCCGGGCTGATCCACGGTGAACGTGAACGAACAATCATACGGGCCGCTTAGTTTAATACACCCGGGTGGCAGGCGGGCATTGTAGAGTAACTTTGATCAGCGTAATGTCTGTACATGGGGGGAACCATTAAAAGGTTGCAGGTTCCGATGCGTGAAACCCCTACATAAAAATGGTGCATCGGCCGGGAAATCTTTCCCATCGGAGGTCCGGACGCCCGAAGTGCACCTCCCGCCGCAATCTGTGATACTCGATGGTAATAATTCCGCTCCCGACATTGGTGTACATCGGCGCCCGGGTGGTAATTGCCGCCTCCGGGCCTTCGTTGCCGGTGTTCAGCACAACGGAGGGCCTGGCTCCCCGGGGGAACCCGCCGCATCCCTCCTCCTTTGTCGTAGTGTAGGTCGATGGGAGGTCTGGACAATACCCGGTATTGCAGAGGCGCGGGGTCAAAGGGCAACGAGGTGGGCGGCTATTTCCGCTCCCTTGGAGATGGTTACCGGTCGTGCTGTTCTTACTTTTGGCTTCAATATCTTGTGTAAATCTTTGCTTCCGTACTTTTCGTCACGTTCACACGCGTGAATCAGCCCATTAAAGGGGGGTATGGGGGGACAATTTGCCACCGCAATAATGAGATGAGAGATGAGGGCAGTCGGTTCGCGCGAGACCGTCGGAGATCGGGGATGAGATCGACGGCGTTCGGCGGTGCGGAAGAGTTCGCTCGGGCGGAATGGAATCCGCTTGTACGCGAGAGGAGTGCTCGCGTCGTCGTCGGTCGCGCGCGAGCGTGCAGGTTCGCCCGTTCGGCGGAATCATAGAGTCCGGTGACGAGTCGTCACCGCTGGTGTGATGGCAACGAGGAGGTCGTCACCGGTGAGTACCGAGGGCCGCGAAATACCCCGGTATTTCAGTGTTACATGTATTGGTGTATGATTGGATCGTTTGGTGTACAGGTATGTTACGGTTGGTGTGATTGAGTTAGTGCGAACAAGGGTATGTGTGGTCACGAAAAGATGCGGAAAATTGAATTTCATTTATATCATTTGTCATCAATTTGCTTTCATCATTATTCATCAATTTGCCTTCATTCATATACCTGATTTAAATATGTAGCAAATTGCTTGTGTCGTCTGCCATTCACGCCTCACAATGAGACCATAGAGGCTTGAGACATTTCCTGCCGCGATTACCTGAACAATCGTTTAGACCATAGTGCATTATATCTATATAGTCTTAAGTGCAGTGCATCTTTGCTGTGCATATTAATCGTAACTTAAGATGATAACCGGAATGTCCATGGCTTTACAGAATTTATAGGCAATATCGGTGCAATGGATCGGGGAAGTTACGATTGGGTGTTTCAGGCAGAGTTTTAAGCGGGGATGACGATCCCTCCCGTAAAGCCGTGCACTCAGTGCACCTTGTGGCGCTGACGAGCTGTCATCAAGGCGGCACCGAGGCTGTGCGTAGCTTAACGCGGGCAAGCTTAGCTCGGCAGCAAAGCCCTAATCAATTATTATCTCCACCTCGCGCCGAAATGAGCCTTGCATTCAGGCAGCAACCCTTTAGATCTCCTATGCAAGTTGTCACTTGCAAATTGCCGGGAAACTGTCATAAGTGTGGTCCGAAGGTGTTGCTCATAGCTGATGACCCTGGATTCGTGTGATCCCCATTCATCAGCTAACTTTATATGGTACGCAAAGGCAGTGCAACAATGAATTATAAAATCAAGACGTCTGCAGGTCCAAGAGCACGGCTCGTCCCAAAATTCCCCTTTTCAGGAGGTTAGTGGGCCGAGTGGTGTACGTTACGGAATGAGTCGCATTTCAACGAAAAATCCGTCGAGCTTCGTCAATGTTTCCGTCTTTTATTCAGGGTAGTGAACAGATCTTACGGTTCATTGCAGTTTCTTCTGATGCAAAACGTTAAATGTCTTGTCAAATCTTCAATATTATGTTCAAAGTAGTTAATTCCCTCGTTTAATCCATGCATTTTCGCGTTGTCATTTCCTTGCTTAAAACGTGGTAGCGATAACTCAACTAAATTCAGTCACGGGCCAGAAACAAGCTCTAAACAGCTTTGATTCCAGGTTTAATGGCAACACTTATTAAAGCAGAAATTCTTGAATGGAGCGCTGAGTGCTCATTTTAATGTGCCCGCATTTAAATTCCGATGCACAAGTTGGCATATTCAATATTAAAATTACTTTTATAATTAAATTCATTTAGTGATGACGGAAGAACCCAGTGCCTCTGAACCATTTCATAGCAATTCAGTGAGACGGTATATCTTGAACTATTTTCGGTTTTGCATTGACAAATAATCCGAGGAAATCGATCTCTCAGGATTTTCAATCCTCTGTAAAATCCTGTCACGCACAGATCATCACTTTGCCGTCAAGTGGAACCTAAATCATCGCTGAAGTAATTTAATTTGTTCTGCATAGACGAGCAAAACATGTGTTTATTGGCATTTACGCTTCTCGAGAGAGGGCCTCTAGGTAGTTGGATTTTAATGAGGATATTGGAAAGAGTACTTGAAAATGCACATTAGAGGCAAATACACTTGAATCTACGTGGCGCGGATTCTATCCGTCGCGACTGCACATGATATTTGAGTCTCCAACCGAAGCTGACGGCGATTTACGTTCGGTGGGGCCTGACGCATGATGAACGTTTTAATTCTTTCGGCAATTAGGGAATGTAACGGAGCCCCAGCTAAGGCAAGCTTAGAATTGTCCCGATCATTTTAGGACAGCAGGCGAGACGTGTAGCGGCGCGCGGTGACGCAAAGCCCTAGTTGCTGAGTCGACTCCGTTTGGACTGTCGCTCCAGCAAATTCAACAGCACGGGCCTATCCCGAGACTTTCCTGGACCGTTTTAGTCTCGGCGCCGTCGTGCGCTGCCACACCAGTAACGGGTGAATTCATATGATGTAATAGAGCATGTGCCCATTGACAGTTCTCGCGTGTTGTACAATGCATGTTGTTGTATGTACAGCACGGGTTAATTTACTGTGAAGCACGTGTTGTATTTCATGTCATCATATTCCTGAGCGGTGTGTGGGCGCCCGGTTTAGGCTTCGCTATCATTGGCCCGAGGGCAAATCGGATCCGCCAGATTGCCGATATCCACCTGCTCAAGCAGACGGGTTGGATCCGACCCCCGTGCTCCCACACCACGCGCACCTGTCAGCGCCCGGGCCGGCGCCGGACCGAGCAATTATGGTCAAGCCACCGCGCCGCCCGCGCAAGGGGGTGGCAGGTCCGCGGCAGGGCCCTCCCCGACCGTCCCAGAGAAGGGACGCATTCCCATCGTGATGGGATCGCGCCGCCGGCCGAGAGATCGAGCCGGTCGCCACGGGTAGGCCACCTACTCGACCGAAGGCGAGAGCCGCCGCATTCGCACGGCCGATCCTAAACGCCTCGGGGCGGGACGACCCGCGCCCCGCAGAGCGGAGGGACGCCAAGGAGCAGCGGCGAACCGGGCCGATCCGCAATAACAACACCGGAGTCATTGGACTCGCCTATCGCTGGCCGCCTGCTGCCGAGCACACCCCAGACGACGGTGGCTTTGTGTAGCCGATGTGATTCAAAACCAACGCGGTCATTTTGATGTTTGAACGCTCTTTGATTTTGACTAGTGCATCATCTTGCGTCTTTACTCCATAACATTATAATTTTGGAAGATAGAGTTATCGTTCCGAAACGGACCAAACGAGACAATTAACCCCATAATCACTCAGTACGGCACCGAAACCTTCTGATTAATCGATATACGGCGCAATGGCCGCCATCATTCCTTCTGGAAAGATTATTGCGATAAAAAGCGCCTCATACAGCACAAATCAGCGTATTAGAGAGGGACCTTGATTATCCAAAATTGTTCGCTTCTAGGTTTTCAATCAATATCCCGACCATATTGGTAGGCAGAATGAGCGGCACGCCAAATAGGCATGCAGTTTTGGGAAATTCGTGTCCGGTATATATGTTTATTTATTTATCTGTTTCACTTCGAGACAAATCCATCCATACGAAAATGATTCGCATATCTTTAACAGTACTGCGCATGCCGTCTTAATAAGTTTCGGGCGTCGTAATGTATAAATTTAACGGGTTATATCAGTGAACTTATTTGTTTTAACGGCAGTATCAGAGCTGAGGCAAAAGAACTCAGTGCGGTACAATAAGTGTATCGTCTGCCAATCAAAATTTAGCATCAGCAGTTCTGGTGATGTTTCAGGAGAACGGTCATTAGTGTTCTCATTTACCCAGCATGAATTCCTTCGGAATGACTCCAGGCCCGAGCGCAGTCACCTCGGTGTGGTGTCTCCGTCATGGAAAGGCTCAACAGCCCCCGCACCCGCACCACAGGTGCCGTCGTCCCCAGTCGGTCGGCAGGATGGGCCGGCGCGCCGCGCCTCGGGCGGCGTCACTGCGCCGATCCAATCACTCGGTGACTAGCCGAGTGAAGTGCGTGCCGCGCGGCGCCGCACTGTGCGTAATCACCGCCGAACCCTCCCCACCGGTACCTGGGTCGACTGGACCGGCAAATTGGCCGACTGGGCTGCGCACCTGAGCGAGGGGCTAAGGGTGCTTTCACCGGCCTGTAGGAGCTCGGCCGGGTCACTGGCCCACCACCATCAAAACAAGTCCACCCTCCGCCGTTCGGCTGGCCAGCCGGTAGA